TGTTCTTTGGAGTACGAAGACGAGGTTTGGTCATTCCATTGCCGACCGGAGGCATCTTGAGGCGAGGGGCGAGCACCGTCTTGAACTTGCCTCCGAGAATCATAGTACCGGCCTGTGGTGCCCCGACTGAATCCGGGGATCGAGTCGGTGCTATTGCCCCGAGAGTGATCATACTGTCTTAGCGTCAGATCCCCAGTGGATGATGAAAATGCTCCTGTATAAGCGGGCGACGCATTCTGCATAGCTGGGCTACCACTATTTGGACTTTCTTCATGGGGACGAAGAGATGATCCCTGAAAAGTGCCTGATTCGCTGCCAATAGACGAACTCTGGCGTCGATGGTCGCTGTTCATTCCCGACAGGGCATTGCGGGTATACTCGGACCGCAAATGGTCAGATCGCACCCAGTTTTCTCGAGCCGGAGAGTCATTGTATCTCGGCGAATCGTGGCCAGCAGGGACCGGCATGGTAACCGATCGTTGCCCAGGCTGCTTTTGGCCTTGATTGGAGGCATGCAATGCGCTCAGATGATCCGGACTCACATCATTGACGCCAGCGACAGGGCCAGCAGAGCGTGGCTCGGGAAAATTAGAGAAGTAAGCCGCACTGGTCTCAGGGAACGCAGTCGCCGGCGGCTGCGTTTGATTCAGTGGCGTAGACACGGTATAGTCTTGCGAACCATCATGGATTTGACGGATCAGTTTGCGCATACGCTTTCCTTCATCTCGTTCCCGGCCAGGTTCCCATTTTTTGCCACTCCGGCCAACCTCCTTTGACAATTGAGGATAAACTACTTGATGCATTTTCCCAAGATTTCCTCGCCCGCCGGATCCATGTCCAAGCTCTAGGAAGTCCGCCCCTTCGAGCTCCAATGATTTGAATGTTTCCTGCCAATCGTTGGAAAATCCATTCTTCGCAAGCCAGATGAGCACGCGATCCAATGGCCACTGGATCGCAGCTTCGCTGTGAGACAAACCACCCAGCGAAGTACCGCTATTATTGTGACGATGACTTGAGGTTTTGGTAAGCTCAGTATTTTGAGCTGTCGCCTGCTGCTGCGGACTGTCGTTGGTCGTTAATTCATGAATGTTGCCATGAAGAGCGTAAGGCGAAGAAATAGTGCGGCCCCCAGGGGTCTGCGGGAGGCTTGTGTCTGCTTTATACGGGACTGACGTATTGATGTGATCGTGCATTTGGCTGAGACCCAACCGTTGTCTCTCAGCGTTGGTGTGCGCATATGGATCATATGGCTGAGCTCTTCCATGGGGGTCGAACAACCCTGGAATGCCGACGCCAATAGTATCGTTCCCGGGAATATAAGTTGCGGATGTCAGAGGCTGATGGTCATGACGCGGAGGAATGATCGATAACTGGGCTGGTGGGCGACCGTATGTTAGATGCTGGTTTGGTGCGGGGGCAAGCGGAGGCGGCGGTGGGAAGCCTGGGGTCATCGCCGGCCTGGCCCAGTTTTGCTGCCATCCTGTCGGAGCTCCATACGTTGTCCCTGGAGGTGGACCAGGAGGAGGCGGCGGAACCAGCGTTTGGGCTTGTGGGTGTCGAGGTGGAGGCGGAGGCAGGTTCATGTGTTGTGCTTGAGAGGAAGGCGGGGGCCCCGGGACATACTGTTGACGTCCATCCATTATGATAGCCGATGCACTTGATCTGGCTATTGACTGTAGTTATATCCCGCTGTCTCGACTGCGACGTCCAGGAGAGGTCTGGGCGAAGGTGGTTTTCGGTGTTGTTCATGTATGGCCATTAACGCATCATGCTAGACGTCCCAGGCACCAAACAAGCGGTCGGGTTGAGGGCTGGATACTCGATCTCGTTGATCGCTTCGAGAGGGCAGAAATGGAACGAACTTAGGTCCTCTGTGAGTGAGTTGACATGGTTCGGTTCGGCGTTGCCGACGTTATCGCAGCGCTTGGGATTGCGGAACAGACTGAGATCGCGCGACAGGCTGGTACAAGGCCAAGATTATCTCAAGACGATCGGCTGTAATAGAGAAAAAATTCTTCTGAACTCAGTACATGGTTAGTCACCTGCCGAAGAGCTCCCAACCTTGGGAGGATTTTGGAGGGCGATGCGATTGGGTCGAAAGATTGGAAGATTGGATTCCAAGATTCGAAGGTCAGAAGGCAAATGAAATTCGAGCAAGTGGAAGCGAGCACAGAAAACACCACAACTCCTTACTTCCGACGTATTTTCGGAAACGAATTGAACTCACCAAGAATTCTTGAAGGGATATAATATCAAATGGTCTTTATATTGCTTTGATGCCTTGAGAGGGATCGTCACGTGGCCGCAGGATCTACTCAGCATCCATGGATCCTTTTTAGGGTAGTCCGTAGTACTACACAGAAAGAAAGAAAGAACAATATATCGTACTTTGACCGGCGATTTCTTCATGGGATACACTCCAGCCCCATCCGAGACACTGCAATCTCCCAATCTCACATTTGGTGGCCCGTGATCACCTTGTCACCCGCTATGCGCCAATAACAGCACTGTGGCGTCTGTCTTCGTTTCTGTTCAGCTCTCCAGGGAACGTTGGATGGAAAGATATTTAGTACGTGCCTATAGCTACTAAGGTCCCAGATACTGGTATGAGAGTAGTTCCTCCCCGGAGTAGTCTTCTACTAGAAGTAATAGAGAAATCAATCACTTGAAAAATAGAGTAAAAATTGTAATAGAAATAAATTAAATTATATCTCGTCAGTAAGCTAACAGAATATATGTAAGAATTATGTTTGAAAAGTCATAGGCATCCACCACTGGACATATCAAGTGTCCCCGTTTATTTGCACAAAACGCCAGAGTCCAAAACTCGAGATTTTATATCTCCGGATCTAGAGAAGAGTACCCTTATTCTGCTCCTTGTCCACCCTATAAAGTCTCCACATACCAATACACGGTACAGCAAGCACAAGACTCGCTGTCGCAGCAATGCAGCCGTACTTCTGACTATGACCGTAGGCAAAGTTGATCGCGTCACGAGACACTGCAGGCACCGGAAACGGTGCGGCCCTGAAAAGCTGGTAGGGGATGAAGTGGGTGCAGGCGAACCAGGAAAGACGAAGAAGAGCAAGAGTCCAATAACCCGGGCGGGCGATAAAGGCGGCCTCGCCGTACTGGGCACGGCCATGGTTGGCCAAGCTGAAGGGGAGAAGGAACAATATGAAAGCTGCCACCAGGATGAATGCACTATGTAGGTAGGCTTGAGAGAGTGAGTTTGCCGGCAGTCGCGGCAGCTGATCGTTGGTCTCTTTTATTTTATTTTATGTTTCTTTGCCTCTTGTTGTGCCCCCGAGCTTTATATTATACCTACCTTAGCTGATGCAGTTGCGTGTAATATTTCAGTTGCAGCATTGGAACTAGTAGATACTAGTAGACACGACTAGGATATCAATGGGTAAAAAGGCACAGGGAAAACATCCTATTCAAATGCCAATGCTCCTCACTTGATAGACACGAAAGGGATTTGCATCATCCAGCCCGTCAGACTCCAAATAATAACACAGCCATTTTGGACACTAAAGGCTTATTTTACGCAAAGTGGAGAGGCAATTAGATGCTTTTCGGAGCCCCACCCGAAATCAGCAAGATGCCATGCAATGCAGAGCTGACCTTTCCATAAATACTTCGTCACAGGCTTCAGATGGGGAGTATGGACTAGAAGCGATGAACGGGTACATAATTCCAGGAATATTGCTACATATGTGCCTACCTACACGCTTCCGTATCTCATCTTATCAGATGACATTATCAGATCAATCCAAACCCGTGTATGGACCGCCCTCGGACCATCCATGGGTTCCTTCCGAGACTTTTCAGTCAGCAGATGCGCCGGGGATCTATTTATTTTCTGGTCTTGGAAGAGATGACTTTTTTCTCGGGGCTTTTGCTCTCGGGCCGAACTCGGCAGGTCCGGATCTACCTACCTAGGTAGGTATATTGTCACACTATGAAGTATAAATAAGCTTAGCTTTAGGTCGAGATGGTTCACAGCTTTGCCCCTTACCTAGGTAGGCAAGCTGAAGCGTTCACTGTGTCCACTCAACAATGTCTCTTTTTCACTACTTGAGTGTCGGGTTTCCTTATGGTTAGCCAGTTTTTTTTTGCTTTTTACTGTTCCACGATGATGAACCGTACTTTAATTGAATCAAATCGGCATAACCGATGATGAGGCTCTTTTGCTTTATCTCACCAGTACCTAGGTATGCGTGCAAAACCCTAGCATCGGCAAATATCCTCTGAGCTCACCGAATGGGAAAAAGACCACTCGCATCTAACTAATAATATAAATTTCTCCCTGGGAAGTTATGGTTCACCATTCTCGCCCAACCAACGACTGGAGAACAGCGAACTGGTCCCACAGAGACATTCCAGCCTGCACATGGAACAGATTAAAAGAAAGACGCCACTTTCCACTTGCCATAAACAGGATATCGTATGCAGCCTTATAAAGAACATCTAAGTTGCTCCAAGCGAGGTGCAAAGTCATTGATTTGGAAGAAGATGAAGCGAAAAGACTGAGCAGAATCTGCCAGAGAGACCTTGGCAGCATTTGGCATTGCGGTTCATGTAGCTTTAACTTTGAGCATGAAATGCTTATTTTGGCACTGTAGGCGACGCCAGCCTTGTACTAGTCAAGGACGCTGGGTTGGCTTTGCAGTTCGCATATCTTTAACTACACACTTAATACCTAGATAGGTGTACGCCAGACCTTTGTTAATGATAATAGTAGACTATTAGACTTAAATATGAAGATTTCATTGGATTTTGTGAATGAATAGCGGAGATATTCGTGCTACATACAGCGTCATTAAATCCTGCCGGTATGTGACCACCCCCTTTCGAAACAAGCGCCGTTAAAGCAGAAAAGAAATCACCGAGGCCTAGGAAATCCAGAGCTCAAATATTACCAGTTACCATGTTACTTTCATGTGCATCGTGACATTACGACAAGAGTCATAATATTTTCTCGCGCTTCGAACCGCTTACTTGTTTCGTCGCGCAGCAGCCTCGGCGGTCAACTTCAAGCCGGCAGGGGCGTCATCGCGAGGCATGTACACTTCAACCAGCTAGATAGCGCGTTAGCAGACAAATCGAGATTTCCTTCTACTGATAACTCACTCGAAGCTTGTCAGACACGTTGAATTCCTCGTCAGCGAACAGCTTGTTGAGCTCGTCACGGGTCTTGATACGGTAGCCTTGGTAGTTGTTGTTGGCTCCGAAGACTTTGGGGATATTGGCAAAGTCCCATGGCTGGATGTCGTTGTAAGATGCGTCCCATCCGTGGATGTATCGCTCGATAGTGTAGCCGTCGTTGCAGATAACGAAGCTAGAGATGGTCAATATATGATATGAGAATTCTGGGTTGGTGGGGATGCTTACACGATAGGGTTCAACTTATTTCTCAGAATAGTACTCAATTCCTGAACGGTCAACTGGATACTCCCGTCGCCGATGAAGAGAATGGTTCGACGGTCTTCCTGCTCTTTAGCCGCGAGGGCAGCGCCCTGACAGGCTCCCATGGAATAGCCAATGCTGCCCCAAAGAACTTGGCTAACGGCAGTCACGTTCGCGGGGAAGCGAGTGTCCCAAATACCGAAGTTCGCAGTGCCAGTCTCTGTAAGGACGATGTCCTTTTCCTTTAGCCACTGCCCGACGATCGGCCAGAGCCACTTGTGGGTGATTGTCTGATCGGTAGAGCTTTCCTCGCTTTTGGGTACTCGGTTTGTAATCTGAGGAGTATGAGCCGGCGGCATAGGATCCATCCGCTCAATGACCTTCCTTAGAACGCCTTTCATGTTCACATTAGGATACTCCGAGTACCGCACCCTCACAAAGGTACTATGGAAGTCAATGGTGTTCAGCTGTCCAACACGATAAGTGAAACCGGTAGTGTTGAAATCGGACTTGATCGCTCCAATACTCAGAATAAGGTCGGAGGACTCGACGGCCTCACTGACCCCAGGGTTAGACCCATTGCCAGCATAAACACCACCAAAGTTCTTGTGGGTCTCGTTCACGGCTCCCTTGCCCATCGGAGTCACAAAGGTTGGCAAGCCAGACTTCTCCACCAAGTCGCGCACTTCTTCTAGCACACGGTGACGGATGGAACAGGCGTCAACCAAGATAACAGGGTTCTTCGCAGCATGGAGATACTTCAGGACAACGCTGACCACGTAATTCTCCTTCTCCGGGTCATTCTTCGGCAGCGAAAGATCAATTGGGGTCTTCAGGCGATCACCGTTGACCTTGGCAGCGACAAGATCTGTTGGCAGAGTGATGTACACTGGACGGCTGCGGATCCAACATTCACGAATCGCACTATCAATCAGAGTAGCTGCGTCATAGGGTTTGTTCAGACGTGCGACGTAGCAGGAGATACCCTCACTCATTTTCGTGAAGACATTGAAGTCGCCGTTTCCGAGAGTGTGGTGCAACAACATGCCATCCTTTTGAGACTGTGTGGTGGGTTGGCCAACGATATGGACGACTGGGACGAATTCGGAGTATGCGCCTGCGATGGCATTGAGGGCGGACAGCTCTCCAACACCAAATGTGGTGACAAGGGCACTGATACCGTTCACACGAGCATATCCATCGGCGGCATAGCCTAAGAGGAGCAAGTATTAGGTCCAGACCATGCGTTGGTAGTACAGTCTGTCTTACCGGCATTGAGTTCGTTGCAGTTTCCAACCCAGTTGATACCACACTTGGACACGTAATCCAATGCTGCGAGATTGTAGTCACCGGGGACACCATGCAATGAGCGGATTCCAACCTCGTGAAGACGTCGGAATAAGTACTCTGCAATATCCATGGGATTCTTTAGCTCCATGGTGGCAAGATCGGTAGTCGCCATAATGAATTGATGTGTTTTGGGGAGAGACGCAGGTGGGAAAGAGAAGAAGAAAAAGGTGACAGCTCGAGCACGAGATATAAAAAGGCTCAACTTGAACTTTTGTTCCAAGTTGCTTCCCTGATGAGAAAGGTGACACCACTTTGACTACGTCATTGAACTGATGTCATGCCATCAGTTTGCTATTTTTATGACATTGGATGTTTTATTTTAAAGCTATCTAGAACATAGTAAATAGTAAAATAGATAAAGATTATGCATTTACTGTCTAAGAACAACATATACAATAATGCATTAGCCCTGGAGTAGTCCATTGTAATAAGCATATATTGTAACTAGAAGCCAGCCCGGCTAAACCCAACACAGGTAATAATCTCCGCTGATCACACAAAACTCCCACCCCCACCACCACCTGGGCATCTCGAACCACATTCCTGGATTAGATTATCTAAATGGGGAAAAGAGCTATGCCTGACAGATCAAATCACTCTTCAAAGAAAAGAAAGGTTAGTTTCTAAAAATTGATTGCCCACAGCACTAACTAATGGGATCAGGGTGGTGGAAAATATGGGAAGCAAGCAAGTCGCGTCGCTATTGAATCTGGCGATGTAGGTGTGTTTTTGACATGCGATATGGGCAGAGAAGGAAAATGTCTGTCCGAGGCAGTGGATATCTTTTCTCAGGTGAGATTCTTTTTCTCTCTTTCTTTTCTCATTTCTTCTTTTTTTTTCGCTTCGAAAGTTGTTCCTACAGTTTCACTAACTCTTTGCCTAGGCCATCGAGGGCACTGAAAAGAAAGAGGAAGAGGATCCAGATACTGATGATGAAGATATCGAGGCCCAGATTCGAAGGGAGCTGGAGGGCCTACAACCCAGCAAAGACAAAACTCGTCAATTCCAGCCCGTGCAGATTGACATGCCGTGTGGTAGGTCTTCGACTATTCTCAAAAACGCTATTTCGCTTATGCGCTCGGTTCCCGCAACGTTCATTGGCGCTAATCCCTAATAGTGGTATTCATGCGTCTTGATCCCTCAATAGACCCGGTGCAGCTTGTGCACCGTCTTTGTAGCGAAGCACATGCCCATCCGGAGACTAAAAAAAGTCGGTGGATTAAGCGCATGCATCCAGTCACGTCAATCCGGAAGACTTTGAGTGTGGATCTAGCGGTATTCGCGAAAGAGATTCTCAAGCCTCATTTCCATTCTGGAGGACCACCGAAGACGGTGAGTTCAAAGCCTCCCCAATCTCCCTCCCTGGGCTTCTGGTACATCCTACTGATCTGGGAAATGATCCGATCATGCATCCTGCTGTGAAGGGAAATATACTTCGAGCTTTGCTGATCTGTCACCTGTCTAGTACGCCATTCGGCCTACTGTGCGGGGCAACTCGAAGCTCAGCCGAGACGTTATTATTAAGACTGTTGCCGATGTTGTCGGACCTGAGCATCCGGTGAATTTGACGAACTATGATCTAATGATCCTCGTCGACGTTGCCCAAGTGAGCATAAAAGAACCCTCCCCTACTGGATCTTTAACTGACTCGTCGCAGAATGTGATTGGAATGAGTGTCGTGCAAGGTGATTATGATAAGCTGAAGCGGTTCAACTTGGCCGAAATCTATGATCCTTCACCAAAAGCAGACCCAGCAGCCACTTCCACCGAGTCTAAGGCTTAGTATCAATGGCCCAGTACTTTACACAGTTGCCACCAAGTCACTTCGATGGAATTATACCGTACATACTACAAACCAATGCTACGCTCATATTCATCTTTACCACTGGTTTCCTATACTTATAACCAGCCCTTTCAAGTGAACCTACTCGCTTATATATGCATAGGCAGACAACATCGAACAATAGCCCAGAATAGTCATTTTGACTTCGTGCGTAGCAAGTGAATTTGGAACAGAAGCCATAAGATATTTTCGAAATTTGGGGTTCGTGTCAAACGCATGGCTTTTGCAAACTTTCCTCTAAATAACTATGTTTAGTGGGAGGCCTTTCTACACTTGACACTATTTCCGAGGTTTGCGTGCGTCCCAGTCTGGAGCAATCGGGCATCGCTGCCCAGGTGGACTATTGATAGAGGTTCTTGAATGATAGGTAACCGATGAGACATCCAGGAATAGAGCTGGGCTACTCCTTGTTATATTTCCTATATTATTTGGCTTTGAGTATCCTTCCATTGCTTTGGAATTGGAAAAAGAAATACTCTAGGAACATTAAAGCGGATATGTACATATTTGACATAGAATCAACTGCATCGATGCTAAAAGCACTCGGACATTGGACCCTGGTCTTTACGACATATCCCATCCCCTGCAGCTAAAAGTGCTACGTCAGAGGGCCAAATAATCTCGGCAATTGAGTTCATGCAATAAGCCGTCCCGGGGGCATTAAGAAGTCAGGTCCATAATCCAAAAAGATTCAAAAAGCATTATAAAACAGGAGAAGGAAGGTATATGCCGATCTAAGCTCCATTATGACTTCAGAGACTCTTTAAAATGCAAGTCTTTCACTTAAGAGTAAAATCTCCGGTGGCTCGCATGGAGTGTTTCATGCTTCTAACCATTAAACGATCAGCAGAAATAGTCTAGTTTTCGTCCAAGCATAAAACGCAATAAGCGAATCAATGAGTTCGGGAAATACTCCGTAAAGAAGAACAGATAGAATGTCGAAAGAGTTCTATCACGGGAAGAATTCGGTAAGGGACCATTCTGATTGGTCGGGCAAAGGCGCTCGGATGATCACCTTTCTAAGAGCGGGATGCTTAGGCGAGACGGCTTCACCTAATTTACTTGTCCCATATTTCTTCTTAATCGTGAGCCAATGGTGACAATAGGGTCCTGGGACTCTCGCTTGTGAAGGTTGTCTCGGCGAAACATATTCTTTTAATTTGACTCCGCAGTCTATGTTTACGTCTTCTCTTTCGTATCTCCCGTGGATGAACGTAGAAGCGAGAGTCATGGCGCTGTCAATGTTTCTCTATTGTGGGTAATGTACGAAATAGACGATCATGGCGGTCTGGTGTGCCCCATTGATATTCGAAGGTCTCTACGGACTATGGATTCTTTTGCGGATTCTCTATTCTAGAAGCGATTTTGCGCCACATCTGCTGGGAGTATGCTTTTCAGTTCAAACTATCTCCTCGGCATATATCCATGGGATACCTATGCCCTTTGATTAGAAATCGCAAGGTCTATGAGTCGCGATAGCCTTGTTCATACATCAATATAGCGCCCCCACCCCTGCTCGCCAATATCCCCACCAAATAGATCACGATGCAACAGCTAGACCTGAAAACATGGTCTGCGATGCCATCACTAAAGGGAACAAGCGGGCACAGCGAATCTTTTCATCGGCAGCCCCATGCCACCGAGGTAGACGAACATCATAGACTGGACGATGTCCTCTCGCTGCTGTTTCCTTCTACGGTTCATGTGCAACACTCACATCCAATTTCCGGCCACATGCACTCATTGCTGCTTCTGACGCTATCGAATGGAGCTCATTTGTTGCTAAAGGGGTCACCATCATCAAGGACCGCTCTCCTTCGACGTGAGCGGTCATTCCTCGAAACCGAAGCCCAGTTCCTTGCTCTTCTAGGGCAGAGTGCAAACCCTTGTATTCCCCAGCTATATCATTATGATCCCCATGGAAGACTCTGGGGATCTGCCTACTTGATCCGGCAGTATATGAAAGGGAAGAGTCTGTCAGAGATGGAAGGCGAACTCACCTCCCAGCAGCTAGACGGTATCGATCGCCACTTGGGCTTCTTGGTGAGCACCATCGGCCAAAATGCAGCCCCTGGATTTGGGTCTTTGCAGCAAGTGGCATTTGGCGCTGGAAGACCCTGCTGGCGAGAGGCCTTCTGTGGCCTATTTGAGGGCATTCTTCGCGACGCCGAGGACATGTTCGTCCACCTTCCTTACTCAGAGATCCGACATGAGCTGAGTCGCCTAGCACCTGCTCTTGAAGCTGTATCGCTGCCACGTCTTGTGGTCGTGGACTTTGGTCGACCCTCCCATGTTTTGGTAAACGAAGAGTCTGGACAGTTGTCTGGCATTGTGGACTTCAGTAGTGCCATGTGGGGCGATGTTTTGATGGCAGAGATCTTCACGAATGCATCCCCGGCGGTCTTGCAGGGAGCAGGGATGGCGGTGTCCAGGACAAGAGAGGAAAAAATCCGGCTGGTCTTGTATGTGTTTGGAATGCCATTTCAATTTAGTGGGACGTTGCTAACTCCTTCTTTTCAACTAGGTATGCGTGCTACCGTTTGGTGTCCCAAATCACTGTGCAATATTACCGAGACAGAGATGAGACGAGCGAACTCGATGCGCGGAGACGATTGACAACCACCATTGCAGAAATGGCGAGGCTTTGACTGGTATAACTGGGCTGATTAACTGGCGCTTTATGTGTCCCATGTGATACCTAGACGATCACCATTAGCTCGGTTGCATAGCAAGTTTCCTTCCAGCGGCAGGCCGGCCCTATATCGCTGCATGTGATTTGGAGTTCTGTCCTTTTTTGCATTGATATATAGCGTTCTTATAAAGGGGTTCTAATCGAAATAAAATTCAATCTTCATATTAACCTACATTATATGGATATCATACAACATAGAACATACAAGAGAAGAATCAAGTTGCCTTCGATGCCAAGTCAGAACGGATAGGGCGATAGGGGCGGAGCGGGGCAGATCCGTTGTTTAGCTTCTGCATGGCGTCAATGGTGTTCTCTCTCCGCAGTTAACTTCTACTTTTCATAACCTGCTAACCCTCTATCGCAGATGGCTCAGTTCCTGCGAGGAAAGCAAGCTGGTATCCAGAAGGACCTGTCCGAGGGCTTGTCCCCGGACTTGTTCCTCTTGGACGATGTAAGTTCTTGGCATCCCAGGCATCCTCTTTTTTCTAACTGACACCGCTGTTCTCAGTTCGCACGATGCGGCGTGAATTCGCAGATTAGTGCTATCGCATACGATCCCATACAATCCCTCATCGCAGTCGGCACCAGTGATACCCAGTTCGGAAGCGGGCAGATCTATGTCTTTGGTCAACGACGAGTTTCGGTGGTCTTTGAGTTCCCGCGGAAGGCGTCCGCGCGGTTCCTTCAGTTTTGCGCCGACAAGCTGGTCAGCATCGACTCCAAGAATGAAGTTTGCGTGTACTCCTTGGCGACTGGACGCCAGGTGGTTTCCTATACGCCCCCGGGCCATGTGACTGCCTTGTTAACGGACCCATGCTTGGATTATGCGTTTATCGGCATGCAGAATGGTCCGTAAATTACTAGACGGAAGAAAAGGACCGAATATTGACCTGAGAATAGGTGAAATTATTGCTTACGATCTCGATCGAGAGTCCTTGACGCCGTTCAAAGTTCCGAACTTATGGTTGGAACGAAACCCCCGCGCGCGGTTCTTCCCCGTCGTATCTCTGGAGTTCTCTCCGCGAGACATTGGCAAGATCCTAGTGGGATATCCAGAGGGGGCAGTGACATTTACATTCAAGCAAAATATTGCTCAAAAGTACTTTGTCTACGAAATCGCTCCTGGGGCACCCGGTGGAGACTCCCTACCGTCCCGCGACGTGCGCAGACCCAAATTGACCAACGCGATCTGGCACCCCAACGGAATCTTCATTTTGACTGTTCATGAAGACTCAAGTCTAGTGCTCTGGGATACAAAGGATGGCCGTAAGCTTCATGCCCGGACTGTCCAGGCATCCAACGTCGACCAACCAGGTGCTGCTGGCAGACCAGGCTCACCTGGCGAGGGTACTGGACCCAAGGAGCCGATCACAAAGGCTATTTGGTGCGCCAAAGATAACCCGGACGACACTGGTCTTTTGGTAGCTGGTGGTCGACCAGTGGGTGATCAGAGCAAGGGCCTCGTTTTCCTGGACATGGGCCCAACCCCCAACTATCAGACGTCCTCCTGGCAAATCTTGTCTACTTACCTCGAGCGGCCACGGCGACAAATAAACCTCTCAGTCCCACCGGGAGCTAAAGTTGTCGACCTCTGCCTCATCCCCCGTTCCTCGCCCTACTTCAACGGCGCCCATGATCCAATCGCACTTATTGCTATGCTATCCTCGGGTGAAATTATTTCCCTGAGTTTCCCCAGCGGACACGCAATCACTCCTACTAACATGCTTCATCCGTTCCTCACTTTCGTCCACCCCTTTGTAAACAAAGCTGTGCTTACTCCCGTTGATCGGTCAGTTTGGCTTGGTCTGAAAGAGCGTCGGTTGCAGGGACCCAAATTTGTGATGGGCGGCGCAGAAGCGAAGAACCCTCTCAAGCGCTTTGAAAACCGCAACGTCATTTCGACCGCGCACGCTGATGGAACAGTCCGTGTCTGGGACTGTGGGCACGATGATGAAATTGAGAATGGCGATGTGGTTCAAGTTGATCTTGCCCGTGCCATAGGCCGAGTCAGCAATATTGAAGTGACTGAAATGTCTCTCGCCAGTGGCTCAGGCGAAATGTCTATTGGACTCAAGACCGGAGAGCTTGCAGTCTTCCGATGGGGCAATAACCCCTCGTACGGGAGTGAGGAGTCTCCTGGTGCCAATCAGGGGCCAGGGAAGCTGACTACGATAACTAATCGAACGGACCCTGGTCTTAAGACGGGAATGCTACCTCTGACTCTTTTGGATATGCAACAAGGTCCGGTGACGGCGTTGAAGCATGGGCTGGTTGGATTTGTAGCGGCTGGTTACCAAAGTGGTACTTTGATGATTATTGACCTGCGCGGGCCCGCCATCATACACACCGCGCATCTCTCAGATCTGCTCAAGGGACCGAAGCGGAGCGGTTTCCGCAGGAACCGTGGCTCGGACGAAGTCCAACCAGAATGGCCCACTCAGATTGAATTTGGTGTGATGACTTTGGACGGCGAAGGTAATTACGCATGGCTTGGGCTTGTGAATCAGACCAGTGTACTAACGTGTTCTAGACTATTCAAGCATTTGCTGCTTCGTCGGCACGAATAGGGGCAATGTGGCAACATTCAAGATCCTCCCCGGTTCGAATGGCACCTACGAAGCTGTTTTTGCTGGATCATCGGCCGTTGAAGACAAGGTGATCAGTGTCATTCCCATCGATGCCGAGTCTGGTGGTCTTGCTTTGGCTACACCCAGTGCAGTCGGAGGCTTGAGGAGTGGTGCGAAAGTTAATGGTGTCGTCATTGCCGTGACTGCCTCTGGCTGTCGAATCTTCAAGCCACCAACATCAAAAGGTGCCCACAAAGCATGGGATGACTATCTCTGCGACTCAGCAGCCGTCGTAAAGACTGAAGGACGAGGCTACAGCTTGGTTGGCCTCTTCGGTGACGGCCACGCGCGAGCATTCTCGATCCCCGCTCTTCGAGATATTGGCTGCACCAAGATTAACCATATTGCGGACATGCGACGCCTCTCGGAAGCTTGCATCACCCCTACTGGAGACATCATGACATGGGTCGGCCCGTCAGAAATCGGAATGTTCAATGTCTGGGGAGGCGGAAACGGACTGTATGCGGCCCCATCAATTCGCTGAGACATGGTGCTAATGCTAACCCTACCCACAGACACCCTTCAAAAGACAAACTTTTCAACCCAGAAGCCGTGGTTCCCCCGCGTCCTACCATCACCAACGTCCAATGGATCTCCGGTACACAATATATTTCGCCGGCTGACATGGACATTTTGAGTACGTCACCCCTCGTCAATGCCGCTCTAACTGTAATCTAACATCAAATCTAGTCGGCGGTCCAGAGCGACCACCATCGAAGGGGATGGTCGAACAAATGAAATTCGAAGAGCAAGAACGTCGGAGAGCCCTAAAAGAAGGACGGACCCCACCGGCACCTGCACAGGGCGGCAGCCAAGAAGGCTACTGGTCTTACATGTCACGTCAAGTCCAGGAACGCACGGAGCGTCTCGGGATTGTCGGAGATAGCATGGACAGGCTAGAGGAGAACAGCAGCGGCTTTGCTAACGATGTTGGCAAATACGTACAGTCACAAAAGAAGAAAGCTGTCTTGGGCGGTAAGTCGATCTTCCTTCAGGTCCACGGACCTATGTATAGTGTTTAACCCCCTTGCATAACTGTCGCTGACCGGTATTCCACAACAGCGCTTGGTTCAAAGTTTGGCTTTTAGGCGAGGTCTCCTAGTGTGTGAGGTTTTTAAAATGGTTTAAGGATACATCATAGGAGTCTTTCCCTTTTTATCTGGCGTCAGGTAGTTAGGTCATCGTGCCTGGGAGGACAGATCACTTTGCAATTTCACCCCTCCGCTTCTTGACTTCCCGCTCCAGCTTGATCGTACAATTGTAGGTATGTATTTATTTGTCTCTTTTGGCAAATCCAGAGCAGAGCAGAAGACTGTTTGACATTCCTCGACCCTAGTAGACATCTAAGAGTCGGTTTTACGTGGTACAAAAACGGCTTCGCAGCTGTGCCTGTTACAACATACTAAAGGAAAGGAATATGAACGGAAGACAGAAGGCCAATGTGATTCAAAATTATACCAATTCTATTTCATAGACCTACAGTAAATCCCAATTCAGGCTAAGGACATGGAAAATCAGTCCAAGGGTCATAAACATTGCGTTCTGGCTGTCATTAAATAGGATTCAAAAAAAGAAGAGTCTAGGAGCAAAGAGACCACGCCTGCGAGCCGGCGGGACACCATGATCTAGTGTACCATAAGCTCAGGCTGAGGCTGGTGAGTTGGCTTGGCAGAATCATCCTTGGGTTCTGCGTCGTCGCCCATCTCGACATCATCGTCACCATCGCCACCCTCTTCCTCATCAAGGTCATCCTCATCATCGTCACTCTCCGCCTCAAGATCTTCACTCTCGGCATCGGAGATCTCTTCTTCCTCGTCCTCCTTGCCAGCAGGGGCCTCGGCACCTTCCATCTCATGGTCATCGCCCTCGGCGGGCTTGTTGGACTCCTCGAGCTCCTTGAGAAGGGCAGCCTCGAGCTCACGCTCCTCGGCACCGTAGGCTGCACTATCATCGTCGAGACCATCGGCCTCGGGCTGGTCAGGCGGGTACTCTGCGGGGGCAGAGTCATCAGAGTCCCTACGGAGAAAGGAAAAATGTAAATAAAAGCCCCATCAGGTATGTAAACAAACAAAACAAGGGGTCTCACCATTTGATGGCGAAGCGGGTCACACGGGGCTTCTCAGCGAGGACATTGCGGCGAATGCGCTCGATAACGGGCTTCGCAGGGGGCTCGGCTGCCAGCTCCTCGCTGTCGTACTCGTTGTTCACGTAGTAGCCAACCCGGACGAACTCTCGGCCATCATAGCTGCAGGTGAGCAGGATGACGGTGACGCCGAGCATCTCGGAAGTAGGAATGCGCTTGACATCAGGTGCGTCGGCCTCGAAGATGAACTTGTTCACTCCGACCGGGATGGGTCCAACGAGGAGGGAGTCGAGTTCTTGGTCATACTCGGAGCTGTGATAGTTAGACTCTGTGGAATTGGTTGGAAACAGGGTATTGGGAGGGTGGACGTACGAAGTGGCAGATCCGACGTAGGTGAGTTTCCATTCCAAATCTGAAAGAACTCGTTAGAACACTCGACTGGGAAGACGAGGGACAAGTCAGTACTCACCCTTCTGGAGCTGCTCGAGGCACTCGAAGGTGATTTCGAATTGGTAAGAGGCGGTGAAAGGAGCCGGGTTATTGAGGTTTTTCACCCCGAGGAGTGAGACGACGGACATTGTGTAAGATATGAGAGTATGTACGGGGGATTGGAAAGTTGAAGAGGCAAGAGTAGAAGATTGTATAAACAGGGGGGGGTGGAAAGAAGAAGAAAATAGAGAAAACAAGAGGAATCAACAGGTCCACAAGAATGCAGTTTACTCTCAACCCCTCTAGCTCAATGCGAGGAGCCCATCGATCGACGCGCCTGTCGCGTCCCTCGCATTGTCCTCACCGCCCGCACGTGACCCTAATTTCACTACCCGGGCAACTTGCATCACCAGCCATCGCAGCTTTGCTCTTCTCTTCCTCTTAGCGATCCTTTGCTATCAGACACATTGCGGCTGAGGGTTATCTCCTCAAAAGTGGCTGTGCTCCGCCTTGCCTTGACCCTTGACCGTCGGAAGATTTGTCTTTATTTTAACTTATCCTGATATCACATCGCGCAAACCCTGCTTCGCTTGCGCCGTGAACTTTGACTTTCCTAGTTGCTCACTTTTCTTCGACTTGCGGTTATCGCACTAATCAACCCATCATGGCGGACGATGAAGCCGAGGCTGCCTTCTTCCAGGCTCAAGCCTTGAATACCGATTCCCAATCCCCCACTGAGGAGCAAGAAGGTGATAACTCAGACGCAGAATCAGATGACTATGACCCCTCACTGGCATTGGGGGATCAGTACTCGGCCTCCTTTCCCGAGACAAAGCAGCCTGATGCCCGCCCCGCTGATGCAGCTCCTTCGGATGAGACCGAAGATTCCATCCCTAACCCGGCCGTCGCCCCAGACACAAACGTCGCCTCCGAAGTAAACGCAGACGCTGGCCAGACCAGTGACTCCCCCGACCCTTCTCAGAACCCCTCACGTGCTGAGTCGTCGACCCCCGTGCCAGCATCTGCCGCTGAGGCACAGCCAAAGACCCGAACAATTGGCGGATTTGAGGTCGATGATGACGAGGATGACGAGGGTGATGCGGAGTATGAGCCGCCGGCTGTACTTGGGGGTGAAGATGTGAATGCTATGCCTGTCACCATGTCTGAAGATCCCAGTTCAGGAAATGCAATGCAAAACACTTCCCCTGATGTATCATCGCACCAAGCTGAGCAGGGACCTGCCAGTGGACCAGATGTTGCCAATAGTTCTTATCCTCCTGTTCATAATATTGATCCCTCTTCTGTTCCTGGCCAATCGCATTGGGCTGTGCAAGACTTGCAATCCGCAACCATGCAGAACAGTACTGTCCCTACTCCTGTACCTGACTCTCCAGCTTCAAAGGGTCGTCTGGCCCATGACCGTGTTGGTATGCTGGAAGACCGGATTCGAGAGGATCCCCGAGGTGATATCCCTGCTTGGTTAGAGTTAATTGCCGAGCACAGAAGCCGCAGCAGATTAGACAGCGCACGCGACACCTATGAGCGGTTCTTGAAGCTGTTCCCCATGGCGGTAAGCCTACCTTTAGTCCCTTTCTTTGTGCTCTCTTTTTCTTTCTCGGCTATGTACAAGATTGCTAATGTGATACATCCTAGGCCGACCAATGGGTGGCCTATGCCAGCATGGAGTCTGAGCTCAATGAATTCTTCCGCTTGGAGCAGATCTTCAACCGAACGCTCCTGACGACCCCCAGCGTTCAGCTTTGGTCTGTCTACCTTGATTACATCCGCCGTCGTAATCCTTTGACAACAGATGCCTCTGGCGAGGCAAGGAAGACCATCTCGTCAGCTTATGATATGGCCATTCAATATGTCGGGATGGACAAGGATTCCGGAAACATCTGGACAGACTACATCGAGTTCATCCGTTCTGGACCAGGCATCGTTGGTGGATCTGGGTGGCAAGATCAACAAAAGATGGATCTACTGCGAAAAGCCTACCAACGAGCCATTGCCGTGCCGACCCAAGCCGTTAATGCTCTCTGGAAGGAGTATGATCAATTCGAGATGAACCTAAACAAGCTTACGGTAAGCTGGACAGTAGTCGAATCCAACTGGCTTGTATTAACCTTTTCTACCAGGGCCGCAAATTCCTTCAAGAACATTCGCCATCCTACATGACTGCGCGTAGCTCATACACCGAATTGCAAAATCTCACTCGCGATTTGATTCGCACTTCGCTTCCACCGATGCCTCCCCTTCCGGGGTCTGAAGGCGATGTTGAATTTTCAGCACAAGCAGATATATGGAAGCGCTGGATCGCATGGGAAAAGGAAGATCCTCTGGTCCTGAAAGAGGAAGACCTTGCTGCTTACAAGTCACGCGTGGTGTACTTCTACAATCAGGCACTTATGGCACTGGCCTTCTTGCCCGAAATATGGTTTGATGCAGCTGAGTTCTGTTTCTTGAACGACATGGAGGATTCTGGGACGGAGTTCTTGAAGAATGGCATCGAAGCAAACCCAGAGAGCTGTCTGTTGACATTCAAACGGGCGGACCGACTGGAAGTTATCTCGGATTCGGAACAGGATCCCGCTAAGCGCGCTGCCAAGGTCCGCGAACCATACGACAAATTGCTTGATGCACTTTACGAGTTGATCAATAAAGCTCGTAACCAGGAGACCCAGGATGTTGCGCGCATCGAAGCTTATTTTGCTCCCCAAAATGTGGAAAATCAACCTGCGGATGAGGATGAGGATGATCCTGAAGCCAAAGAAAGAGAAGCCGCCAAGACGGCGCAGATTGATGCGGTCCGGAAAGCCCATTCCGTTCAGATCAATATTATCTCCAAGACTCTCTCCTTCGCATGGATCGCTCTCATGCGTTCGATGCGTCGAATCCAAGGTAAGGGGAAACCAGGAGAACTGGCTGGCTCTCGCCAAATCTTTGCCGAAGCCCGGAAGCGCGGTCGGATTACCAGCGATGTTTATATCGCGAGTGCTCTTATGGAGTACCATTGCTACAAAGACCCAGCGGCCACCAAGATCTTCGAGAGGGGTGCGAAATTATTCCCGGAGGATGAGCACTTTGCGCTCGAATACTTGAGGCATCTGCTTGACATTAATGATACCATTAGTAAGTCTACACCCCATGTTTCTGAGAATTTTGCTAACCACTGCCAAAGATGCCAGAGCGGTGTTCGAAACAACCGTCAGGAAATTGACTTCCAACCCGGAGAACGTCCACAAAGCTAAGCCCATCTTTTCCTTCCTCCACGAATATGAATCTCGCTACGGTGACCTCACCCAAGTGATCAACTTGGAGAAGCGCATGCGTGAACTATACCCGGAGGATCCTACTCTGGAACAGTTCGCCAATCGTTATTCCAACTCCAACTTCGACCCTACATCAGTGCAACTGATTTTGTCGCCGTCCCAGACAAAGCAAAAGACCCACATGCCAGGAATCTCGGCGGAAGCCCACGCTTCTCCCATGGCCAGATACCTGGATACCTCCCTCAACTCACCTAAGAGACCTTATCCCACTGATGATTACGATGATGACTCGGGTCGCCCACGAAAGTTTGTTCGCGCTGAGTCGCCAATGAAGAGCGCGCAAGCTCGGCGTCTCGACCAGCCGAAACGAGTACAACAGTTGAACGGCCAGAGCACCTCATACAGACCACAAGGGTCTCCAGCTCCCCTGCCTCGTGAAGTGGTGAATCTTTTGAGCATCCTGCCCCCTGCAGCTGCCTATAACATCACCCGTCTTTCTCCTGAGAAAATGATCGACCTTCTTCGTCACGTTGAAATTCCTTCCGATGTTTCACAGATACAGATCCCGCAAGCTGCACACGGACCAGGTGGAGGCCAAACCCCGGGACTGAACCCCTACTCCGGTAAGTTTATCATTTAGCTCTCTCATAATGAAATCCTCACTCACATGTCATCCCCAGGTGGTTACCGCTAGGCCCTCGCTTGTTCGTCCTATGAGGACCACGGTCCACTTGCAGTGTAAAATCCCTGGCTCTCTGCTTTTGCGATTTCATATTCCCCGGCGCACAAAATATCCCGATTCGTTTTTGAGGACTTGATGCCCAGCTCTTTTTCGTGGGGGCCATTTCATGAAACATGGTCGGGGCATACGTGGTTGTTCTGAGCACAGCCCCCTTTGCATCTTCCATCGGCGTTGATCTATCTGGCATTTACTTCTTTCTTTTTTCTCAAATAGGGCCACAGGCCACCAATTTCTGCTTGATGGTTGGATCCACCCAACCATGCTTTGTACAGACTCAGATAAGCAGATAATCTCACGAATAAATTCAACAAGCACCCTGCCCACTCCATTCGTAGATTCTTGACTGTCTAGAGAATTGATTCATCATTTTGGAGTAAATGAGACTCATAGCCTCCTTTGCCTATAGATGTTAGGTCCATATAGCCTGAAACCTCTTGTCTAGCTGACCGATATTTGTCTTTGGAAGTCCCTTCGATGAAGTAGAAGAAGGTAAAATAGAGAATGAAGAATGGGACTCCATGTTCATTTGGAGAGCTTGATGTGTGGATATATGTAACTGACATCTTCTTGGACTAGGAGTCCTGGCAAGAAGAAGACTTGGTTAATTTGCCTGGAAGTCAGAGAGTCTTTCTATAGACACTAGGGAACGAATCAGTCAGGGTGAAACCATCCTATGGGTGTCGCAGTTTTAAAAGTAAGCTTAAAGCAAAACCTTGCGATGGTCCACGGGTGAGAGTTGGGGCCATGCGTCATTTTATACTCCATATAATGTCCACACAATATGAAGCCCGAGGAAATCTCTTTCTTAGCTTATACAGTTGCGGGAACGAGGGGAAAACCGCGACCACAGCCTCAATTCAGACACATAGACGTAAAAATACCCATTGGATTTCAGGACACGCTGCATGGCACCTCGATCAAACAGCTCTCGACCTTTTCGATGCCTTCTGGTCGGGATACTGTTCCCGATGGAAGTCGCTCACACAACCATAGGGGTTATCTTTGAGATTTCCATCACAGCACGCGAACGTAAAGCACTCTGGGAACTCCTCGCGCATTTCATCGGTGTCGACTTCGAACTCATCGTAATTGTCGATATAAAGATCTTCACCAGTGGGCTCACTTGACGCTATTATGAATTAGCTTATTGGACACTAGACCGTGACCTCGTAGTCGTACCTGGATGATATCGACAGTTTTCCTCCGTGTTGGTCGTGACATCGAATTCCTTCTCGCAATTAACGCAAAATGTGTAGCGTGGTACTTGTCTCTTCTTATTATTGTCAGAGCTCTCTTCGGTATCGGTAGCTGTCACTAGCAGTTGACTTTCGGCCTCTTTACGAGCCTCGTCGTTTTTCGCACAGATGGACTTAAAAACTGCGCGTAGCGTCTTGTCGGACGCGTCGTTGATAGCGCGACCGAGGGTTGTGGCCTCGGGCATTTCCTCAGTAATTGGCATGGTCTATCTGTCTTGTGTTGGTTAGTTGCGACTTCGTCGCTTCGTGATCGAATAAAATGTTAATTTAAGAGTGGGTGGGATGGGCTATAAGTCACTCTGCGCTAGTTAACTAGTATATGGGAAGGAAAAAAAAAAAAAAGAATGGGCCCGAGCCCGGGATTG